TAACCTCATGTAAATTAGGCACATGCTATTAGTTTCATCTGGGCACAAAAGAGGACATCAGGAAATATAATTGCTCCACTATGGACAGTGTGGAGAGAATAACTCAAGAGCAAATTATTAGTATATAATCCCAAAATTGTCTGTTCTTTGATTTCATCATGAAAAGAAATTCTTCTACCTTCTTTCAACCTTGGAGAGTCTTTGGTACCTTGCTAGTTTCTGTTATGAAGAACTGAGATGGCATAAAGCTTTGTAGTTGTAAAAAAAAAAAAAAGCTTTGTAGTTGTAAGAAACATGATCCATTCAGAGTTATGGAACAAATGATACAAACTTTATTAGAGCACAAGACTTATGATACATTCTGAATAAAACAGAGGCACAACGTAAATGGCAGCAATTAATCTGAAGCAGATACACACACATACTTTTCTGGTCCTTTTTACTAAATTTTCTTCAAGAAAATTGCTCTCTTCAATTTCAAAGAATAAGTTTCCACTGATCATTTATATACAACAGCAATTCCCAGTTAAGGGAGAAAATGACCAGCATTTCCCTGGTATAACTTCTCCCGCATAATCAGTCCCCAATAACCTGTCAACCCTCCTCCCAAGAAAAGCCCAAGTCCTGTAATGTCTAGCCTGCCCTTTTCATGGTCAAATGGTACAGCATTCAGTCCTATAACCCAAGGTGGCCTATCTATGGAAGGGCACCCTGAACATTTTAAGAATGATGTCTTAGCTTTTTATATGATTCTCTGTCCCTCACTTATTTTAATTCACACACCACTGAATTTTATATTTTAGTGGCCCTGTTTACCCATGAAAGACAGATATGAATGAAACACAGCTAAGGAAGTCTGCCCCTTCATCTTACTCATTTCTTTGCAGAGACCATTATGAAAGTCTCAAAGAAAGCTATAAAAGCTTTCAAACCTTGCAGAAATGCCATAAAAAATAATGTCAACTTCTCAAGAAAACTAAAGTAATTAAATACACACTGAAGATAATGGGTCATTTCCACACATGTTATTAAGTTAGAAACATAATTAATTAATCTGTAATAATATAGTAGGTTAATTGTTGGAAAACTAAGGACTTATTTATTCCTAAAATGAATTATCTCTTATGTGATCTGTTGTAAGAACTGTCGAAAATTTTACCAAATTCATCACAGCTGTACGGATTCCCCCTGATATGAATTTTGGGGGGAATCTTGAGGAAATATGGTTTTCTTTAAAGTGTTTCCAAATTTGGTGTAACTGTACAGTTTCTGACTTGCATGAATCACTTCATTATGTCCAAGGAGTGAATATTTGATGGAAAAAAACTGCACAATATTCATTACCTGTGCAAGCTTGCTCTCCATATAAAACCACTCACGTTTCACAGTTTTGATCTTTGGGTTAAAGCTTCAGTGTGCACATTTTGTGTGGTTTCTCTGAAATACATATATTCTGAAGTCTAGTGCACTCTGAACCCTAGAGAAAGCCCTTGCCCATCCATTTCCAAGACTCCTCTTCACTATGGACTCTTACCTAATACTTCAATCCAAGGTGAAACTTTTTCCACTCCCGTTGCATTTGTAAAGCACTCCTCCAGTTATGTTCCCCAACTTAGACGTTTGAGTAAAATCCTTTTCACAAATACTCTATTTGTGTGATTTAATACCAGAATATATATTTTCAGATACCTAAAGAGTGAGAGGCAATTTTGACAACGATCATAGTCATTGCATTTCTAAGTAAAGTGTTTGGTGAACCGTGAGTCTGAAGCAGTACCGAGAGGCCTTGCCACATTCTGTACACTGGAAAGTTCTCTCTAGGATGGATCATCTGATGGTTGGTGAGATGTGAGCCCTGAGTAAAGGTTCTACACCCTCATGTCACTTGTAAACTTTCTCTCCAGAATGACTTCTTTACTGAATCCTAACTTCAGATTGTCTAAAAACCCTGATGCATTCATTTCATTGATACAGCATCTACCTAGGGAATATTCTCAAGAAGCCAAAAGTGTAAACACCTGAAAAGCCTGGCCACATTGACTGCATTCAGATATTCTCTCCAGTATGGATCACCTGATGTCTTTTTAGGCCTGATTGCCACGTAAAGGATTTGCCACCCTTGTACACTTGTAAGGTCTCTCTATATTATGAATAATCTGATGATGGGAATGATCAGCCCATTACTGAAGCTCTGGCCACACGCATTATATGACCCCCTCCAATCTAGACTGGAGTGACTGACTGAGATCTAAATGTACAGCTTCTCACCAGGATCAATTTTGTAAAAACCAAATGTCTTCCAAAACACATAAAACACACACTACGTGGGTAAGAATTAGTTCTAATTAATTACCTGATGGTTAGTTACGTCTGAACACAGAATCAAAGCTTTGCCACACCTTGCACATTTCATTTGACTTTTCTGAGTGTCAAAAAGTTGATATACTTTACTGCATTTACTACACTTGTAAGGTTTCATTGACATGGATTCTCAGACGATCTGCAAAGTCATTCCTTGTGACTGAAGGGTTTGTCACATATATTACATTTATGTAGTTTATCTCCTCTAGGAACCACCTAACGGTCAGTTAAGGCTGAGCAAGCACTAGAAGCTTTGCCACATTCATTTCATTTGTATGCTTTCTATACAGTATTAATTCTTTGATGAATTATAATGCCTGAACTCAGATTAAAGGTGTTGCCACACTCATTACATTCGCACTAAATGTTTATCACAATGTTCCATCCGTACATTTTTCTCCACTAAGAATTATCTGATGACTTCTAAGACAGTGTTTCAAATGTAGCACTGGCCACATACATCACATTTCTATGCTTTCTCTCCTACATGGCAGTGAGTTAAAGCTGACTGTTCACTAAGATGTTTGTCATAATTTTTACATTTCTAAAGTTTCTCCCAAGAATGAATTCTAGGACGAACTTCAAGGCTTCCAGTATGACTAAAAGCCTTGCAACACATATCACATTTACATGGTTTCTCCCCAGTATGAACTCTCTGATGAATTCCAAGTTTTGCAGTTTGATTAAATGTCTTGTCATATACATTTACATGGTCTCTCTCCAATATGAGTTCTCTGATGAACTGCAAAGTAAGAGCTGGAACTGAAGACTCTTCCACAAAATTACATTTCTATGCTTTCTCTCTTATATGAACTGCCTAATGGTGAGTTAGGGATGATGATGCACTAAAATGTTTGTCACAATTGTTACATTTGTAAGGTTTCTCTCCAGTATGAATTTCCCAATCAAGTGGAAGGTTTCCATTTATACTAAAGACCTTGCCACGTCCATCACATTGATATGGTTTGTCTCCAGTGTGAACCCTCTGATGAATTTTAAGTTGTGTGCTTCGACTATAACCATGGCCACATACATCACATTTATATGGTTTATCTCCAGTATGAAGAATCTGACGAAGTGCATGGCTTGCTTTCCAACTAGAGAGAGAGAAAGAGAAAAGGCCTTTCCACACACATCACATTTACATGGTCTCTGTGCAGTATGAGTTCTCTGATGAACTGCAAAGTAATGCCTGGAACTGAAGACTCTGTCACACAAAGTACATTTACATGCTTTCTCTCCTGTATGAACTGCCTGATGTTTAGTTAAGGATGACCGTATACTGAAACTTTTGCCACAATCGTTATATTTGTAAGGTTTCTGCCTAGTATGAACTCTCTGATGAATTCTAACATATCCCTTTTCAGTAAAGCCACGGCCACATACATCACATTTATAAGGATTCTCTCCAGTATGAATTCTTCGATGAACTGAAAGGCCTGCATTTACACTAAAGGCCTTGCCACACACATCACATTTATATGGCTTCTCGCCAATATGAACTCTCTGATGAACTACAAGTTGTGACTTTTGAGTATAGCCATGGCCACATACTTCACATTTATATGGTTTCTCTCCAGTATGAAGGGCCTGATGAACTGTATGGCTTGATTTTCAAGTAAAGGCCTTGCCACACACATCATATTTATATGGCTTCTCTCCAATATGAATTTTCTGATGAACTGCAAGGCTTGCATTTACACTAAATGCTTTTCCACATATATCACATGTACATGGATTCTCTCTAGCATGAACTCCCTGATGAATTTCAAGTCGTTCCCTTCGAGTATAGCCACAGCCACATACTTCACATTTATATAGTTTCTCTCCAGTATGAAGGGTCTGATGAACTGTATGGCTTGCTTTTCGACTAAAGGCCTTTCCACACAAACCACATTTATATGGTTTCTCTCCAGTGTGAATTATCCGATGATTTTGAAGGTGTGTATTCTGTTTAAAGCAGTGGCCACAAACATTACATTTATATGGTCTCTCTCCAGTATGAACTCTTTGATGAACTTGAAGAGATGTATTTTGTTTAAAGCAGCAGCCACACACATCACATTTATATGGTTTCTCTCCAGTGTGAATTATCCACTGATTTTGAAGGTGTATATTCTGTTTAAAGCAGTGGCCAAATACATCACATTTATATGGTTTCTCTCCTGTATTATTTCTCCGATGAACTGCATGGGTTGCATTATCATTAAAGGTCTTGCCATATATGTCACTTTTATATGGTTTCCTTCCTTTTATATGGATTCTTTCCTGTCTAGGGAGTTTTGAGTCCTGAAGAAAGGTTAGGTCACACTCATTAGGGTTTTTCTTATGTGCTTCCTGGTCTGGTGCCTGTTCTGAGGGATACGTGACAGTACTCTCATGTTTATGAGAAATGCCTCTGTGGATACTACGAGTTCTCTGAGGTGGCAAACCTGAGGCGCTACTGTTGATATTCGTCACAACTTGACTACATTCAAAAATTGTTCCTTCAGATTGAACTATCTGCAATTCATCTTGAAAGCTTGATTCACGCCTTTCAACAGACTTATCTCCTGTATTATTTCTACTCTGATGATCTCTTCTATCAGTGAGATTTCTGTTATGGGATATAGACATTCCTTTGTCATTTCTTTCATTACCTGTCCACAGACTCTCAAAATCATGCATAGCTTCCTGTATCTTCCCGAGGAAGTCATCTTTGATTTCATGGCTTTCAGCTCTTCCCAACATCACTTTTTGAGTAATTTCTCCTTTTCCACTGTTTCTTGTTCCTTGTAATTTCTTGACCATATGCATTTGAGACATATCTACAAGATACAAAGAACTGCAGGTATCCTACTAATTACAATTCATAAATAAATTATTTTATGTTGAACACATACCAAAACTCATACCCATCCTGACAAAATTATGAATATTCCCAAACATGATCTTTAAAACATAAGAAACAATAAAGGCATTGATCTCTGTTCTTTCCAAGGCAAATCATTCAAAATAGCTGTTATCCAAGTCAATGCCCCAACCATTAATACCGAAGAAGCTGAAGTTGAAAGGTTCTATGAAGACCTACAAGACCTTTGAGAACTAACACTAAAAATGAATTTCCCTTGCACCATAGGGGACTGGAATGCAAAAGTAGGAAGTCAGGAGATACCTGGAGTGACAGCAAAGTCTGGACTTGGAGTACAGAATGAAGCAGGGCAAGGGCTAACAGAGTTTTGCCAAGAAAAGGCACTGGTCACAGCAAACACCCTGTTCCAACAACAGGAGAGACGACTTTACACATGGACATCACCAGATGGTCAATACCAAAATCAGATAAGATTATATCCTGTGCAGCCGAGGAAGGAGACGCTCTACACAGTAATCAGCAAAAACAAGACCAGGAGCTGACTGTGGCTCAAATCATGAACTCCTTATTGCCAAATTCAGACTTAAACTGAAGAAAGTAAGGAAAACCACTAGACCATTCAGGAAAACCACTAGACCATTCAGGTATGAACTAAACCAAATCCCTTACGATTATACACTGAAGGTGACAAACAGATTCAAGGGATTAGATCTGATAGAGTGCCTGAAGAACTATGGACTGAGGTTTGTCACACTGTACAGGAGACAGTGATCAAGACGATCCTCAATTTATACAGCATATTAAAATGAAGAGACTGCTTTTCCAATAAAGGTCCATGTGGGCAAAGCTATGATTTTTCCAGTAGTCACGTATGGATGTGAGATTTGGACCATAAAGAAAGCTGAGTGCTGAAGAACTGATGCTTTTAAACTGTGGTGTTGGAGAAGATTCTTGAGATTCCCTTGGACAATAAAATCAAACCAGTCCATCCAAAAGGAAATCAGTCCTGAATATCCATTGGAAGGACTGATGCTGAAGCTGAAGCTCCAATAGTTTGGCCACCTAACACAAAGAAGTGACTCACTGGAACAGACCCTCATGCTGGGAAAGACTGAAGGTGGGAAAAGGGGACGACAGAGGATGAGATGGTTCGATGGCATCACCAACTCGATGGACACGACTTTAAACAAGCTCTGGGAGTTGGTGATGGACAGGCTAGAGCCCAAGCTTCACAGCAAGAGAAGCCACTGCAATGATAAGCCATGTGCCCTGCAACTAGAGAGTAACTGCTGCTCACCTCAAATTGAGAAAAGAATGCAAAGCAATAAAGACCCAGTACAGCCAAAAAGAAAAGACCCTGCCTTTGGGTCTTTGGGTGACACAGCACCACTGGAAGGTGGTATACATTTCACACGTTAAAGAATGTAGGAGGAAGCTGGGGAGAAGAATAGTCTCCTGTTAAGAGTTCACAAACACTAAACATCTGTTTTCTCACAGAACTTCCCATTTGGAGCTTCCCAAACACTATGAATGGTCTGGCTTCTTCTCTTGTCCTTGTGAGATTTGACCTCCGATCACACTGTTGATACCTTACAACTCATCTGGTTTCCGGACATTTGCACCTCATTCTACACAATCCAGGGATCTTCCTCTGCTACAAAAATAGAGGTGAGATTCAGATCAGATACAGAAATTCTTGCTCAGAAGAAATGCCATGTACTGTGGCTTCTTCCAAAATCCAACCTCTCCTTTTTAACTAAATGTATGTTACTTTCAACACTTCTGTTTATTCATTTATTTATATTGGTTATGGTGAGTGCTCATTGCTGCTTGGGCATTACTCGAGGTTTGGCAAGTGGGGGTTACTCTCCAGTTACAGTACTCCACTTCTCATTTGCTGTGGCTTCTCTTGGGTGCATGGCCTTCAGAAGTTGTCCCCTGTGGGCTCAGTAGTTGCAGATTCCGGTCTCTAGAGTGCTGGTTCAGTAGCTGTGGTACACTAGCTTACTGCTCTGTGACATGTGGGATCTTCCCAGACCAGGGATTGAATCCATCTCCTGAAATGGCAGGGGTAGAATCCCAGCTCTTTTATCAGCCAAGAAGTAAGAACATTATAGACAGAAAAACTCTTCACAAATTAATTTACTATCAGCCTTCTTCTGAATGCACAGGGTAAAGCATAATATACATGAATATGCAGTCGTTCCCTGCATGGGGAAGACCCCCGTGAATGAGGGGATGGCAACCCACTCCAGTATTCTTGTCTGGAGAATTCCACAGACAAAAGAGCCTAGAGAGCTATGGTCATTGGGTCCCAAAGAGTCAGATATGACTGGAGTGACTGAGCACATACACATGCAGATATGTAATTACTTTCGAAGAACTAGTGAACCAAGAACAGAGGGGAAGGAAAAGCGATTTGGATATTTCAAAGTTTGAAATCAGGGTTACTTACAAATGCTCAAGCTGTGGAAAAACTCCTTGTATATCACACAGTGGGCAGATCACCAGAAGGAAAGACAAGCTTATACTGATGCCAATCATGAGCTTTTTCACCTCTGAATCAACAAGGCTGTGAACTCAGTCAAGCAAAACAGGAGCTCACAAGAAGANTTACAACCATAATTTTAATATTACTATTGTAATAAGTGCTCGGAAAAAGGCCTGGTGCTAAGGGAAGATTTAACAGAAAGTCTTGACCTGCATCGAGAAGTCAGACAAGGTCTCCGTGAGGAAGAAACACTTAGGATTAGCAACATGGGAAATAGAAAAGTGAGGCAAATAGAGAAAACAGCCTGTGTGCTGACTCTGAGGCAGGAAGATAGTCAGTGAACAGAAAGTCAGCCAGTGTGACTGCAATGTAGGGAATAAAGAGGGGTGATGCCAGGTAGAGGCTGATTTCTGAAAGGTTCTGCAAGGTCTATAGATTTAGGACTTTATTCCAAAAGCTACTGGAAGCCACTGAAGAATCTGCCGGAGGAAAGTTAGACACTTAGATTGGTTTTTAAGAGCTCACTTGGCTGAGTGTGGAGGTTGCTGATCAGTTGCTCAGTCGTGTCAAAGTCTGCAACCCCATGGACTGTAGGCGCCAGCCTCCTCTGTCCACAGGATTTCCCAGGCAAGAATAGTGGAGTGGGTGGCCATTCTCTCTGGAAACAGTTGCCTTTTGACACATTCTGGGATGACACTCCCATTTACATTTTAATCATGTATATTTCTGCATCTCTGGGACATTAAAAGTGAATCAATTGCACTTCAGTAAGTATGTCAACATTCTATTTCTTCCCTAAAGCTTATTTATTTTGGTTATGCTGGGTCTTCGTTGCTGTGAGCGGGCTTTCTCGAGTTGAGGCTGCAGTGTACGGGCTTCTAAGCAGTGCTTTCTCTTGTTTTGGAGCACAGGCTCTAGAGTGTGCGGGCTTCAGGAGTGATGGTCCCGGGCTCTAGAGCACAGGCTCAGTATTTGTGCCACATGGGCTTAGTTGCTTTGAGGGATCTTCCTGGACATAGGGTGGAACGGTGCACCCTACTTTGGCAGGCACATTCTTCCCCACTGTACTAGGAGGACTCCTCAACATTATTTTATACTAGTTCAAAATAATAAAAAGTAGTATAAGCATAAAGTAACATACAAAAGACTCCAACTACAATCTTTGTAACATACCTATATTTAAAGATAATAATGAGGGCTTCCCTGGTAGCAAAGTGGTAAAGAATCCACTGACCAGCACAAGAGACATGGCTTTGATTCCTGCTCCGGTATGATCCCATATGTCAAGGGGTAACTAAGTCCATGAGCTTCAATTTCTGAGCCAGGCTCTAGAGCCCAGAAGGTGAAACTACTGAAACCAGCCTCCTCTAGAGCCTGTGCTGCAAGATGAGAGAAGCCACCACAATGCCCGCACACTGCAACTAGAGAGTGGCCATCACACAGAACTAGATAAAAGCCACTGCCTCAATAAAGAGCCAGTACAACAAATAAATATATTTTAAAAATGGTAAAATGATTTAATCCTTAAAGTTAGGTATCCAGTTATTAACAAAAGCCAAAGTTTATCTTTTTATTCCATGAACAAAATATTGCATTGAGATTAGGAAAGTTGGGGAATTTCCTGGAGGTCAAGTGGTTAAGTATTCATATTCTATTGCAGGGCTTCAGGTTCAATTCCTACTCAGGGAACTAAGACTCCAATAGCTGCATCGTGTGTCCAGAAAATAAATTTTTAAAAAATGTTGATTTCATAGTTTCATTTAGATGGTATAATGAAACACACCCTAGCCTCGAAGTCTCTTTCCGAACTTTCCATTCCATTCCCAAATTCGTAAGATTTTCAAGGAGGCTCAATTACTTTTAAATGTACTACACTTCAAGGAGGCTCAATTACTTTTAAATGTACTACACAAAGTCAGAACTGATTTCGCCTTAGTGGCCTCTATCCCTATTTTACAATATATTGTGCATGTTAATACCTGACATCCAGCTGCAGCTTCCTTACCCCAGTTTACAGAGCAGACATTGCATCCAGATGGGCCCTAAGCAATCCCTGCTGCCCAACAGCACTGAGACCCCGTCTCCAACCCGTGGGTGAGAAGCCCTGCCCAGGACAGTGTCCAGGGGAGCCTCCTCACAAGGGCCAGGTCACTGGGTCATGGGGAGATGGGATCTAAGTGGAGACGACAGGCCGTGAGGGAAGGCCCCAGGTGAGTGTGCGTGTACAGGAGTCAGACAGGACACTCCAGAGTCAGAAAAGATTAGCGAGTCCAAAGACAGGTATTTCAGGAAGGACAGACAGAATCAACTGAAAATACGGTAGGAAATATTTCTTACCTGAGAAACAGCCATTCCTGACTCCTGCTTTTTCCCCTCCCTCCTCTTCTGGGCATCCTCAGGCAACAGGAGTCTTCAGAGGGGTGTCAAGAAAGTGGAAAACATGCTGTTTAATGCTGAGAGTCAAC